AAGTATTATCATTTTTTACTTAGAATACTTTAATATTTCAAATAAAACCTTTTTTCAAATAACAAATTAAAGTATTTTAGTAATGAATGAAGTAAAGTATTTTAGTATTTTATTTAAAATATCTTGCATTAAACTTTTATTTCTAGAATTTATATAGCATTTATCTGTACTGAAAAATTTTTATTGCAAAAAATACATTTTTTTAGTAAAAAGAATCTATACTGCTGAGGAGAAACAATTTTTTTAAGCATTAAAAAAAGTAAATAAATAAATAAACTAATTGAACTATCGATTGATTACAATTCAGAGAAAATTCCCACATCATAGTTAACTACTAAAGTTGAATACAAACAAATAAGAAGAAAATCAGCGACGACATTTTGGCGTAGGTTTATTTTTTTAGTTTGCTACTAAACCTAAGATATTTATATAATATGTGTATGATTGAAAATGTTCAGCAACAAATAATTGATCAAAAGGTCGTAGAACCTGAATTGTTAACCAGGATGATATTAAAACGAGAAGAAATTACCCTTATACAAACACACGCACAAACTACTGGATTACTCCAGATGCGCTCCATTCCTCCTCGCTCGTGTTTGTATTATTCTTTTTTTTTCTTCTTTTTTTTTTTTTTTTTTATTACTCACAAGTGCATACAGGATGTGACGCTATTATTTACTTGAAAGATACTCGTGCCCTTAAAACACCGAGCTAGAATTGAATAATTTGATTCTTGCGCCGATATCCTGCTATCCGCTTACTACATCGTTTACTCGGTGACATTTTCCGTTTACTTATTTTTATTTGTTTAAACAATAAAACATGCGTAGTTCCAAGAATTTCTCAACTACGCGTAAGTATTTAAGATTTGAAAGAAAAAATAATTTTTTTTTTGTAAGTAAATCACATTTAATTACGCTCTTTCAAGATTTTACGTTGTCAGTCGCGTGCGCGTAAACGAATGAAGTAGCATCAGAACAATGAGGCTGAAACATTTTTATCCCTCCCATTTCTCCAAGCGTGGGCTTGATTTCCGGGCGCTAAGCTAATTAGGTAATTTCGTGAAAAAAAGCTGCTTCGGAAAGTTTATAATCATCCGGATGACCATGTGAATCCTAAGGAAAAAAAAAAAAAAAAAACAAGCGGCTAAATTTTTGCATCCAAGGCACGACTATCTTATTTCTTACCTGAGAAAAATGTATAATCGTATTCGTACAAGTTTAAACAAATTTTTTTTTATTAAAAATTATTTTTAAATGCTCGTTGCTATTTCATAAAAATTGTAATTTAAATAAAAGTGAACGGTACAAAAAACTTGTATTTCCATGAGAACTACATTTTTTCGACCATATACATACCTTTAATACAAACTAATCTAAAAATATGTAAAGCTAGGAAAGTTAGTAAACATTATTTATAAAAAAAAAAAAAGAGTATGCTAGCTTTATAATCAGGTGTCCGAAATGGCAAGTATTAAGTGGTCACCCATACAAGTATTGACCTCCGGTGACAACAAAAATACCTTAGCTATGCATTGATAACGCCTCTATCTCTTTTTATCTTTATCTCTTCGGTCAGACGTCAAAGCAGTCGTGCCTATTTATTCAAAATCTCGATGAAAAAGAAAAAAAAAAAAAAAAAATAGCAGCGTCCAAATAATAATAAATTCGAGGTGTAACTAGCACTTGCGTCACAGTGTGTAGAGTAGGTTGGCTATCCATACTCGGCCCTGACGCGCGGCTCACAAATTACACATCCCTCTTTTGCTCTAGTCGTGTAATATAAAGCACACCGCTGGGCCGTTGTATATTGCTCTGATGCGGGACGCGGATAATAATGAAGGAAAAATTATACACCCAGTGGCTTCTTGTTTGATGCACTGTAGGTATACGTATACGTACGTGGACGCTATTTGGACATGATCCCTTTTGTTGGTAATATTTTACGATATTGATATGGTTTTTGATTCATCGTCGAATGACATTATATCGTCGCCTCTTGCAAAAAACAGTACGATTTAGTTTTGATTTTTTTATTGAATTTTTCTATGTTAGTAATTTTTAAACGATAAAAATCATTTTCACACAATAATAATTTTATTAATTTAAAAATAAAAACAAATTTTTTCAGAAATCCAAAGTGTACAAATTATTTTTCGTAATGAAGCTAGAATAATAATTTGTTTGCATTTTCCAAAAAAACAAAAAGTTTTTTTTAGCTAATCACTTATCGATTGACTTGATGACACGCATGTGAGTAGCCATTTTTTTGCATGTACTATAATAGCCGCAACTAACTTGCTATTATTTACTTATCATATTATTAGATTGATACTCTACATTGTCCTTATTTTTATATTTAAAATTTTTTTGTTCAGATGTTTTTCCACTTCGTTCTACATAACTATGTAAGTGTGCTTATTAGGGCGTTCATTAATTCCCAAATATTTTTTAGTCACATACCCACTGAAATCTTTTCGATGCCTAAAATGAAAAATATAATTATTAGACCCGAATGCAAATAAAATCAACACATGCCGCCGGATGCATTTTGATTTCTTATTTGAATAATATGGAATTTTTAACAATGTTAGGAAATAAATTTTTTAACAATCCTAATGATTTTGGTTCGTTTAATAATTATTAAAATCTACTCATTAGAACTATCTCCTACATTTTTAAAAAGAGTTTTAGGTAAAACAAATTTGTTAAATAGTTTGAAACAATTTGAAAAAAATTACAAAAATTGTACAATTACCTTCAAGAAATTTTTCACTTCAGAAAAACCCAAGAAAATTTCCAAAAATAGTTCTAACTCTGCTTAATATGATTTAATAATGTTTTAGAAGATTACAAATCATAAAAATGGTTTTAAAAAAGTATTTATACAAATTGTTAAAAAATGTATGTTATTTAAATAGAATATTAAAATAGGATATCGTATGACTTAAAAATAAAGTTTGAAAAATAACGGATACTCTAGTGCTGAAAGCTTATAAATTTAATTAAACGAATATACCATATAGAACGAGCACATTCAATTTGACGAACGTGACCGACAAGTGATGGGTAAAAGAGCGAGTGTAACACCTTTACCTACAGTTTTAAAGCGATTTTGATTCTCCTACGTTTTGTATTTTTTTATTGAGCTTTCGATGACGTGTT